TTACTCTATTCACTACTGCTATTATGCTTATGCATATTACAATCTGCAATGCAGTTAAAATCACCACAACATATAAAGGTAACTTGAACAAGTGCATTTACATTTTGAGGGTTGTATTCAGAAAATGTATATGCTTTGTATTTGGAGCATGTTTATTACAAACCACAAAAGAGAATCTACCAATCCCATCACTCTCATGTTCTATAACATTGTATTTTTTTTTATTTAGTCGGAGAATATCACGACCCTTCATTTGAGTTTCTTGAATACAACAAATATCCATGTGCTCCCTATATATGTATTCATTAAACATAGCTCATTTTGGGGGGGGGGAATTCAAACCCTGCACATTCAGCGTCATTATCTCTTCATCCATCAATTTACTTTCTATTTTACCATAGCTCCGCCAACCACGTACGCACACATCACAAAAGAAAACATTAAACACATACACTTTAGATCCGTAACATAGGACTACAAATACGTAACACAAATCCAATATAGGGTAGAGGAGGGTGCCATCCTCCCCTATGCCATACATACTTGTCCCCATAAGAAATGAGGTTTTGTAATGGGGCGTCACGACATCCTTATGCTTATATAATTGAAAGGCAAGAAAACTGAGGCCAGTTAAAGGACCACTATAGTGCCAGGAAAACATACTCGTTTTCCTGGCACTATAGTGCCCTGAGGGTGCTCCCACCCTCAGGGACCCCCTCCCGCCCGGCTCTGGAAGGGGGAAAGAGGTAAAAACTTACCTTTTTCCAGCACTGGGCGGGGAGCTCTCTGCCTCCTCTCCTCCTCCGATCTGCCCCGTCGGCTGAATGCGCACGCGCGGCAAGAGCTGCGCGCGCATTCAGCCGGTCACATAGGAAAGCATTCATAATGCTTTCCTATGGACGCTGGCGTGCTCTCACTGTGAAAAATCACAGTGAGAAGCACGCAAGCGCCTCTAGTGGCTGTCAATGAGACAGCCACTAGAGGGAATAGGGGGAAGGCTTAACCCATTAATAAACATAGCAGTTTCTCTGAAACTGCTATGTTTATTAAAAAATGGGTTAACCCTAGCTGGGCCAGGCACCCAGACCACTTCATTAAGCTGAAGTGGTCTGGGTGCCTAGAGTGGTCCTTTAAGAGTCTTCTTAATTCATAGTTACATAGCTGCAGGGCGGCGCGTCCTATAGGCGACTTAGGCAGTTGCCTAGGGCACACCAGCCCGGGGGGCACTAGATTTAGGTGACTGGCAGGAGCAGAAGCGCACAGCACTCAATGTAGCGTGGCCGGGCGGCGCGGACCGTGGGACAGGAACTTCTATAGGAAGTGCTCACTCAGTGATAAGAGACTTGCGTCCATCAAGTTCAGCCTTCCTCACATATGCTTTTGCTGTTGATCCAAAAGAAGGTGTAACCGCAGCTGGTTCCCTTATTTACCACTATAACATCTTAAAGCATAGAACTTAGCAGGGCTAACCATACAGATATCTTAGCCATAATTTTATATAGTTAGTGTAAGAGATCCTCTATTTAACATATATAAATAATTGAGAATACAATATAAAATAAGGATTGTCTTGGAAGCAATAAAGTTTTGTCTTTTTAGATATTTATTATATAAAAATATAGACATATAAAATCCATTATAGCAGAGTTTATAAGATTAAACGAAATGCTTGCAAATATCATTAATAGGTTAACATACCCTTCTGAACATGTCATCATGTCAGCCTCTCTGTCATTTTAAGATGGAGCAGCGTCTGTCTCCAAGTCTCTCCTCTGTGTCTTAACATTTAAAAGTACACCTATTTATACCTTAAGTGTCTCCATTTTAGGGTTACCGTAATTCATATATGAAAAAGTAACACTTCTTTTACTTTATTCAATTTAGGACCTCCCTTAATTTGGCAAACATACAAGGCCATAACTAAAGGGTGTATACGTCATGGAAATTTTCCTGACTTAGTTCAAGATGGAATCTTAAAGTCTGAACATCCTTATCTACTAAGGTTACCACAGTATATTACGTACTGAAAGAGTCGTGGCATAGCCTTGAAGCTTGTTTATGCATTATTGTTATTGTAATTCGTCTGGGACAAAATGGCGCAAACATATTATGCACTGTATGTAGGTAAGAGGTTATTGCTTAAAGAAACCGTTATGAAAAACAATATGTTCCATTTCTAACACCTTGTCAGTTTGCAATATCTCTTAAAGACAAAGTACACAGTTTAAGAAATACAACATTTCATTCCAAAACTTGTAATATTTGCATTTGCCCATAACAAAGGCAAAAAACCTAGTCTGAAGCGCTTCCACTTTTGCAACAAACTAGGAAAAAATTCCTTCTTGACCCAAAAATAGCAGTCAGATATATCCTTGGATCAGGCAGCTATAGGACCAAACTAATTAGCAATTGTATCCCTGTATGTTATGTTTTTGCAAGTATTCATCCAATTGCAGTTTTAACATCTGTATGGACTCTGATAAAACCACCTCTTCAGGCAGAGAATTCCATATTCCCCACCATAATTCAAAATGTTTATTTATATTAATAACTCAAATAAAGGTGGAAATTTGTATAAATTTCTAAACATGGATCTCGCCACATCATACTCGATTTCTTATGGAAGTTAAATATAGAAGCCAAAAATGCTTTGTATGTTGTAAATAGAGTGCAATCCCTATTAATTAGAATTAGAAGTTTAGAATTAAAATTAGAAGTTAGAATTTTTTAGAATAAATTTGAAACTTGACTTATGTATCTTAAAGTTGTCAGACTAGTAAAACATATGCTAAAAATATACTTAGCATATTTAGATGTTATATCATTATAATTATTATTTGAAGGGGGTTTTTGGCAGGGCTCAGGAGACTAGAAAATTATATAAGGACTCCTTTATATTATACCCCCTATTATATTCATATAAATGAATCTCCTCCCTTTACCTTTCCCTTTATCCTCTCCTTTTTCTCTTTTCGTTTCCCCCCTTTTCTCTTCCTCCTCTTTCCATTTATATTATTTAAAGAGATGAACTCACAAACTTACTATCCTTCAATTGTATCGTACTTCCCTCATTTTTATCGACAAGTTCTACTCATGATTTAATGGTCAGATGTTTATAAACAATATTAATTAAGGTATCTTAATAAATCTTAAAATAATATGTGCTCTTAAAGGACCACTCTAGGCACCCAGACCACTTCAGCTTAATGAAGTGGTCTGGGTGCCAGGTACCTCTAGGATTAACCCTTTTTTTTTATAAACATAGCAGTTTCAGAGAAACTGCTATGTTTATACTGAGGGTTAATCCAGCCTCCAAAACCTCTAGTGGCTGTATACTCATTGACGGCAGCTAGAAAACGCTTCTGCTGTGAAATCACGAGTGAGAGCGCATGGCGTCTATAGGAAAGCATTGTAAATGCTTTCCTATGCGACACAACTGAATCTTTTATGCGGATTTTCTGATGAGGAAACGCATGGCCTCCTAGCGGCTGTCAATGAGGGCAGCCACTAGGAGGGGCTCTGGAGGATGACGTTGCGAGCAAGGAGGAGAGGAGGAGTACAGCTCCCCGCCCGGCGCTGGAGAAAGGTAAGTGTTTAACCCCTTCCTCTCTCCAGAGCCTGGCGGGAGGGGGTCCCTGAGGGTGGGGGCACCCTCAGGGCACTATAGTGCCAGGAAAACGAGTATGTTTTCCTGGCACTATAGTGGTCCTTTAAATTATAAAGATTGGTACACCTGTTACCGGGAAACTGACGGAGGCCAAGCACAGAGAGATGGACACAGGTTTCTTCAGGAAGGAAGAGATCTTTATTTGATTCACTCAGAGGGACTTATGTCACCAAAAACAGCAAAGATCTGAGTACTGAATACATAGAGTACATTTCTTATATAGCACTGTATCTTCTCCCATAATTAGCTACGCCCACACATACCCTTAACCTAATCAATGAATAGAGTCTAAACTCATCCATCCGGTCTAACCACGTGGCTCATCTGAAACAAAGGAGAGGAACGCGTAATTCCAGTTCCTGCATTCCTGCACATGCTCAGTACAGTGATGACAGTATCTTAGCTACGTGTAACTAACTGATACTACAAACACATGTACCTACATATGCCTTGTGGCAATCTTGGCCTGCTAAACTTGTATTTTACTGGAATTCCATCACATTCCCCCCTTTGATGCTTCTGATTTAAAATAATTCCAGATGCATCACCAATCATAGTTTGTTTACACCTCAAGTTGCCATAAACCAGACTAGACTTTGCGATCCTCTAAAGATACGAACCCCTCAACATTCCTCTTCCTGCATGTATTCTCCTTGATCTAGAGCTTCATACCTGCAAACAGCCATTACCTGTGCTGCAGCCTTTCTTTCTGCTATACTTTCTATAATACTCTGCATAGACCTAATTACCAAAGGAATCAGACATGGCAGAAGGAGACACAACATCAAAATCAGTAAGACTCCACCTACCAAGGCCTTGATTCCTCCAAACTGCTCATACTAACTACCAAACCAACTACTCGGATTATACCCTTTCCATACCTGAGTAGGTAAATGTGCTAGCTTAACCATATGGCTAGTAAGCTCAGCTATTGCTTGCCCTTCATCATCTATTTGAAGACAACAATTGCTTAGATTAAACTTCCCACATACACCTCCCTCAACTGCCAATAGGTAATCCAAAGCTAATCTATTCTGGTAGATGGCTGTCCTCATCCTAGTGTTATGCTTCGCTAGGAGATTGAGCGCTTGTGATGTTTCATTGGTAACTATCTCAACTACTGCTTGCAATCTTATAATACGATTAAGCATATATATTGGGATTCTGTATCCATAAGTACCATCCTCTGCCCCCGTAGCTGGCCCATAATAATCTATAATACGCTGGGGAGGCCACTCATCATCTTCCCAGGTACCTATCTCTAGGGGTGCCCTTTTCTTCCTATGATTTACATCATATACTTTAACTCCCAAAGTCTCTCCTGTTTCAACTGGCAACAAGAAGAAGGATGGTTTGAGCATACCCAATACACATGCCCCTTCCCAGTCCTGTGGTAACTCCGAATATGCTTTCTTACCACAAATCCAGTACAAATTTGCTGGGGCTTTCCAACTAGATGTAGCAGATGGGTCAAACCATACATCCTTTAAATTGGTATAATTTGCAAATGGATTAGACGGTTCTGAGACATTTGAAGCTGACCACCAAATAGTATCCTTTGTATCGTCATTATAGGCTTTCTGCCCTAAACAAGTCAATTCTCCTACAGATGTATTAAACATTATTCCTTTCCTTGCTATACAAACATAACCTATAATGGAGGTCTTTAATCGCCACTCAGATTTACCTCTAACACTCACTTGATAATCAGATTGAGAAGATATTAGTTGTTCAACTGTCTCAGAACCAGAATACATTACCTCCTTTGCTTCCCAAGGCCATTGGTCTCCCATATTAGTACCTCCACACACATAGCAGTTGGTTACATTAAGACTACCTCAATGCTCTCAGCTAGGTCTATGAATAAGTTTTTGGCATTATGGGGAACCTTATCTTCCACACTCATCTCCTCATAAAAAGAATGGAAAACCTGATGAGTCTGGGGGGCCACTGTATCTGTCTCTATTCCTATGTATAATATCGTCCCAGGATCCAAACCTGTTCCATATATTTGGAACCCAAATATATTCCCAAACGTATCTATAAATAGCTCTGGGTCCTTGATAAGTATATGGACTGGGTTACACTCCATAGACTTACAATATGGCTTGGTGGGCAATCTAGTGATAATCATATCCTTATCTACTGTCTGTCCCCAGGTTGCCCATCCCACACAGGCCCAATACGGACAATAATTGTAGTCTTTATTTAGGCAGTTTGGATCTATATACTTATGCTTATTACTAGGACAAATATACTTATCATTAGACCCATACGTTCTTTCCCATTTAAGACCACCACATACATTCCATGGCTTCCTACTACCTGATATCGCCTTATATGCATCAAATAGCAATACACCTGGAGAATGTACACTTTCTAGTACAGTCTTATTTATCAGGTTCCCCTGTGCGTTCTCATTCCGAATAGTCAACCAAATTTTACGGGGCTCATACTCACGATTAAAACACCTAGGTTCTCCTGCTCCTATATGGCATACACTATAATCTGTACCTAGGTATCTACACTTTGATACATGTCCTGTGCACTCATATTGCAAATGCCAAATAAGGGTCTGGGAAATACAATTGCCTGTTTTCGTAGTCTTAATGCAAACCTCGCAGCCTGGTGTGTCAGTACCTCTACCTTCCTGAATAATTAAAAACACACATATATGCATCATCAAACACATTACTCCTGACATCTTCTTCCTAATTCTTCGACCGTGCGACAGCACCTCAGCTTCCAGGCGTGTGAGGGCTGCAGGGAATGGAGTCCTTCTGATCCTCACTGTTCTTCACAGAGGATTCCTCTGGCTTAAACGTTGGTAGGTGGTCAGGCTTTATTGTGGCCATCAAAACACCTACTTGTAGATCTTTGTTGATGTTCCCTTGTAACAATACTCTTCGCAAAAAACACTTTTAATCTAACTGGGTCACTCGCTTCAACCGGATCTTGCAGGGATTCTCAGGATCTTGAGTAGCTTGCCAAGAATCTGCTGCTGGTTTAACTCTGGAGTGATGAATCCACGGAGTCACCTCTGCCACCTTTATAGCTGTTGGAGTAGACAAAAGAACAGCATAAGGACCCCTCCACTTTGGCCCCAACGGTACACTGTTCCACTCCTTTATCCAAACTTGGTCTCCTGGATGGTAAGAATGGACAGGTGGATAAATATTTACAGGTAACCTATCTTGTACCCATTTCTGTACCTCCTCCATAGTTTTACCCAACTCTACAACCTGCCGCCGGGTAATTCCTTCTCCCAACTGACTCAAGTCCCCCCTTAAGTTACTAAGTATGGGAGGTGGACGCCCATACATAATTTCAAAGGGTGATAGACCTAACTTTCTGGTAGGTGTACTACGAATGCGCAACAGAGCTATTGGCAAAAGAACATTCCACTTGAGTTGGGTTTCTTGACACATTTTTGCCAACTGGGTCTTAATGGTTCTGTTCATCCTTTCCACTTTCCCAGAACTCTGAGGCCTATATGCTGTATGAAGTTTCCACTTAATACCAAGCATATGAGTCAGTTGTTGTAGGCACTGATGGACAAAAGCTGGACCATTATCTGATCCTATAGAACACGGTAGTCCATATCGGGGTATTATTTCTCGCAACAGAAATCGCACAACTTCTCCTGCTTTCTCTGTACGAGTTGGACACGCCTCTACCCATCCTGAGTAGGTACACACAGCTACTAGTAGGTAACGATGTCAGCCGGATTTGGGCATTACCGTGTAGTCTATTTGGAGATCGGACTCCCGGTGGTTTCACTGGACCTTGCCTTGCGTTGTTTTTGGCACATGACACGCATCTTCGAACAATGGCTTGAGTCAAGTTGGACAATCTTGGTATGTAGAAATGCTTCCTAAGAGATTCTTCCATACGATCTCTTCAAGAATGTGTCCCATTATGATAATTCTGGAAGATTTCTACAGGTAGCGATGCTGGAATAACTATTCTTCCATCTTCTAACTGATACCAATTATTCTCCAAATATTTCCCAGCTTCAGTCTCTAACCACCCTACTTCTTGAGCTCTATAAACTGGAGTCCACTGGGACAGAGGGGTCGGTATAAGAGCTGCTACACACTCCACATATTCTTTTTGTCCGGATTCAGCGGCACGCTTAGCTGCACTATCTGCCATCCGATTTCTTTTCACCACATCACCATCACCTTTCAGATGTGCTCGACAATGTATGATACCAACTTCCTTCGGCTCCCATACAGCTTCCAATAGTTGTAATATCTCAGCTGCGTACTTGATTTCTTTTCCTTCTGAGGTCAGTAATCCTCTTTCTTTATACAAAGCTCCATGGGCATGTGTGGTTAAAAACGCGTACTTTGAGTCTGTGTAGATATTTACTTTCAACCCTTCAGCCAATTGCAAAGCCCATGTAAGTGCGATTAATTCTGCCTTCTGTGCTGATATTCCTTTTGACAATGGCCGCGCTTCTATCACCTTGTCTATAGTTGTCACTGCATATCCAGCATAGCGAATCCCTTCTTTCACGTAACTACGGCCGTCCGTGTATTACTGAACATCGGGGTTCTGGATGGGAAAATCATGAAGGTCCGGTCTACTTGAGAACACTTCATCCATTACCTCCAGGCAATCATGTCGACTCTCAGTAGGTTGCGGCAAGAGGGTAGCTGGGTTCAAGGTATTAACAGTCTCAAGATGCACTCTCGGGTTCTCGCATAACATGGCTTGATACTTAGTCATGCGGCTATTGTTAAACCAATGATTACCTTTATAGTCTAGCAACGTCTGTACTGTGTGCGGGACTCGCACATAGAGTTCCTGACCCAGAGTGAGCTTGTCAGTTTCTGCTACCAACAGGGCGGCGGCAGCTACGGCCCTTAGACAAGGAGGAAGACCACTGGCTACTGCATCCAGTTGTTTGGACATATACGCAACAGGTCGTTGCCATGATCCCAGATACTGTGTCAGTACTCCCACAGCCATCCTTCTTTGCTCGTGTACATATAAGTAGAATGGACGTGTATGATCAGGTAGACCTAATGCGGGGGCGCTCATCAATGCCTTCTTAACATCTGGAATCCCAGATACTTGACAGTTGGCTGACACAACTGAGCTTTCTTCCTGGACACCTTGTATCCTGCCTTCCAAAGAATGTGCAGTAAATCATAAGTTGCTTGCTGGCATATCTCTTTAGTAACTGCCGCTATCAACAAATCATCCACGTATTGTAGTAGTACACATTCTCCTGGGATGGACTTGAAATCTAATAAGTCCTGACTTAATGCTGATCCAAATAGGGTAGGTGAATTTTTAAATCCTTGGGACAATCTTGTCCAGGTCATCTGACGTTTCGAGCCCGTTACAGCATCTTCCCATTGGAATGCAAAGATACACTGGCTTTCTGTAGCAATTCGTAGGCAAAAGAAGGCATCTTTAAGGTCCAAGACTGTAAAGTAAGTAGCCCCACCCGGAATCAAGGCAAGCAGGTTATAAGGATTGGGCACAACTGGATGTATACTTACTACCGCATCATTGACTGCTCTCAAATACTGCACAGGACGATACTCATCTGACCCAGGCTTCTGAACAGGCAACAATGGAGTATACCAGGGGGAAGTACAGAATTTTAAGATACCATACCTTATGAACTTATCCAAATAAGACTGTATGTTCTTCTTCGCCTTTTGAGGTATATGGTATTGTCGCAGGCTTACTGGATAAACCCCAAGCGTTAGTTCGATGCGTATAGGTGGGATATTGCGAGCAAGTCCTGGTGGGTTATTTTCTGCCCACACTCCTGGTATATTAGACAAGGATTCATCACTATTAGGGTTTTGACTTGTCATCACTGTATAAAGTCGCCACTCTTCTTCCTTCGGTACTGATAGTGTCATTATACCTGAGGGTCCTTTAAACTTCAAGGATGTCGTTCCGTTAGGCAGAAATGTTATCTGTGCTTGTAACTTCGACAACAAATCCCGTCCTAGAAGTTGGACTGGACATTCAGGCATGTAAAGGAACTGATGTTTCACTACGTGGCCTCCCAGTGTACAGAGTCGACTTTTGAGAACCGGTTTAGCAGCACTCCTCCCAGTTGCTCCTATTACAGTGATAGTTCTTCCTGAAGGAGGAGCAACTAGGTCGGTTACCACAGAATGTTCAGCACCAGTGTCGATCATGAAAGAACTCCTTTTTCCCCCTATTGCTACATCGACCATAGGCTCCGCTCGACCAAGGGGGATGGAGCCCGGTCGGTATCAATAGTCCTCCATGACAGTGTCAGCCAAACCCACAAAGTCCCTATCTTCTCTTTCTCGCGGTCTCTGCGCTGCTGGGTAATACCTATCCCCTTGAACGCTTCCTCTACTATTCCCACCATTTCCTCCAGGGCCTCCTCTTCCTCTCACTCTACCTCTATAGTTATTACTATATCCTCCCCTTGTTCTATCTCTCTCATGTTGTTCCCTCAATGGACACTCACTCCTCCAATGCCCTTCTTCCCTACAATATGCGCATTGGTTCCTACTTAAAGGCTCCCTATTCCACTTATTCTCGCTTTTCTCGGTTCCCCTGTACACTTCCTTTTCCCTTCTATCTACACCAGCGATAGCTACCGCTAACATATCTGCATTCCTTCTCATCTTACGCTCTTCTTCCTTCTTCGTCTCTGTCTCCCTATTCATATAAACCTTATTTGCTATTTCCATTAGTTGAGTTATAGACATCCCTACAAACCCTTCTAGCTTTTGCAATTTTCTTTTAATATCTCCGTAAGTCTGGCTGATAAAGGCAGAGTTAACCATGCGGGAATTCTCAGGAGCCTCTGGACTAAAGGGGGTATACAATTGGTATGCCTCCAATAATCGGTCATAAAAGGCACTGGGCGACTCATCACATTTCTGCAATACCTCAGCCGTCTTTGACATATTGATCGCCTTTTTCCCTCCGGCTTTCAAGCCAGTAATAATGGCTTCCCTATAAGCTTTTAGGTGAGCCATATCAGCACCATTAACATTCCAATTCGGATCTACGTTTGGGTAATGAGCTGCGGCCCATGCTACCGGGTTGGCCTGATTCTGTGCACGGGCCACTTCTTCAAGAGCTTTAATTGCCGCCTGATTAATCCGAGTCCTTTCCTCGTTATTAAACAATGTCATAAGCAATTGCTGGCAATCAGCCCAAGTGGGATTGTGCGTTTGGATTATGGAGGTAATCAAATCTGTCATGGCTTGAGGTTTGTCTGTGTAAGAGGAGTTATGGGTTTTCCAGTTGAACAAATCCGTAGTGGTAAAGGGAACATAAACAAATACGGGGTCGGCATGTTGTAACTGGCCTTCACCATTAATGTGTGTCGGGCCCGGTGTCAATCGGAGAGGCATTTGATAATGTCGGGGTTGGAGGGTACCGGTCAATTGTCGGGTTAGTATGGGGCTTCGTTGAGGAAGGTCAGTTATGGGTTCCGGTCGAGGGGTAGTAAGACGAGGGGAGGGGGACGCTTTTTCTTTACTGAAGGGGAGGTTGGTAAGCAGAATATTTCGGGCCGGGCTGGGAGGAGCCTGACCAGGAACCAGAAATGACGTCAAATCCGGATAGGTGGAGTTAGTGGGGGTAGGTACCGGAAGGGGAGGGTTTAGAACAAGTGAGCTGGGCTCTGAGCTAGAGGATGGGGTAGGAGGAGACAATGGGGCAAGGGAAGTGGCATTACTAGCCGCACCTCCTCTTCCTGTAGAGGAGGAGTAAGGGGGCGGTAAAGGAATCTCTGACTCAGGGGGTGTGTCCAGAATGGGCGTGATCACGGCCTTGGTGGACAAACGAGTTCTGGCCAACAGGAGGCGGCATTGCTCCTCTTGGCACACCCTGATCCATTTTGGCAAGTCATCCACGGCCTGTTTCCAATAATCAATATATGGAAACTGGTCGTAAAGTTCCGGCCTACCAGATACAGCTACGTGTACACGCTGCACTAGATTAGGATCAAGACTACCACGTGGAGGCCATGCAACCACTAAGACAGGCCATTCCCTGCTACATAAAGTAGTCAAACGTGTTGGAGACATCTTTACCCCAAAATCACATACATTATATCCCTTATTAAAATTCTTTAACATGCAATCTAAGGGATCAACGATCTTTGAATCCAACGCACCCATACTTAACAATGGAGCGTCGTCTCCAATAGAAACAAAACACACTTCCAACATTCACACCCGTTTCCCTTGGCAACAGCACCATGTGGCACAGTTACTAGGCCAAACGCACAACAAATCATACAGGGAATTCCCGTACACACACAGCTGTTACACCACACACTAAATAACTATTACTGTACCTTTTTTGGCGAAATTATACAATTACCCACGCTATAATTCTCAGTATTTAAATTACCCGTCTATAACACACCCTAGTAACATCGTCTTTACAAACAGTAGTTATAGTACGGTTAGCATTGGTTAGAATACAATTTTAAAGTCACAGGTCAGTTAATAGTAGTTATGGTGTTAAACATACAACATAAACGACAGTTATTAGTGATTATTTACAGTATCAGTGATTATAATACATGGTTATGGTACCGTGCGCTATGATACAGTTACACACTATTGACACTCTCGCTAGACGGCAGAGCTCACGCTACCCAGCAAGATATACACTCTACTATAATAAATTTTAACACATTTACAGTTTACCAACTAATCTATTGGACAGTACCTCGAGGGACTACCTAAAACTATTTACATCTGTTTTGGTTATCCGTCGCTGCCCA